GAGTGGTCAGAGGGTAGTTGTTCCGAAAAAACTCCGAGTTAAAATTCTCGAAGAGTTACACCAAGGACATTTAGGAATCGTTAAAATGAAGGCAATCGCCAGATCCTTACCCCTTTTTTTTTCTTTTTTTTTTTGGAAGGGAATTGATCATGATATTGAAGACGTTTCGAGGAAACTGTGTCGATTGTTATTAAGTTCAAATCAGATCCAGTAAGGGCAAGGGTCCATCACTGGGAATATCCAAGTGCGCCTTGGGAACGCATTCACGTAGATTTTGCAGGCCCTATTTTTGAACGAATGTTCTTGATTATCATTGACGCACATTCTAAATGGCTCGAAGTGTATACCTTAAAGTCAACAAATTCCTTTCAGACAATTGAATGTTTGAGAGACTGTTTTGCAAGATACGGACTGCCTTTAGTAGTAGTGAGTGACAATGGTCCTCAGTTAACATCGGGGGGGAATTTGAAACTTTTATAAGGAATAATGGAATTAATTAAACACAAAACGTGTGCTCCATTTAAACCAGCAAGTAACGGGCGAGCAGAGCGGTACGTTTACACCGTTAAACAAGCATTACGTACAATGCAAGGTTATCCAAGAAATATTAAGCAAAAACTTGCCATATTCCTCATGAATTATAGAAAGGCACACCGAACATGGCAACCTTGTCAAGTCCAGCAATGTTATTCTTAAAAAGAGAAATTAGAACTCGAATTGATTTATTTAGTTGTTCCAAATCTTAAACGAAGAGTGGAAGAACGCATCCGAAGGAAATAACTTATGATCTCTAAGCCAGAAATTTTGAGATCGGAGAAAAGGTTGCCATTCGGGATTATAGATCGGCAAATTCCCGATCGAAAATTGGCAAATTGGCAGAGTGACAAACAAGGATGGAGCGCTGCATTATACAATTGACGTTCAAGGAACTTTACTGCGCCGGCACGTCGATCGATCAGATCAGATCGGTAGGGAGCGAGGTTCCATCTGCACCGGTAATCTATGAGCCTCGTATGGCTACTACTTCAGATGGCAACGTGAAGCCACAGGCTCCGGACAAGGACATTGAACAAAGAACAAAGCTGTGCACACTTAAGCCGGAGTTGAAACATCGTCATTTCCAAGGAAAAACTGAGCCAATCATTCCAGTCTGATAAAGAGTTGCAGCAACCCCAGCCAGAACTTACACGATCTTCGCGCATCCGCAAAGCTCCTCGGAGATTAAATCTGTAAATAAGTGGGGAGGGATGTAGCATCTAATTTCGAGAGTATCATTACTCTTATACCCTGAGAACCTCTTCTGTGAACGAGAGTAGAGAGAGAATGTAATGTAACTGCGTAAATAGCGCATCGCTGCTGTCTTATGAGTTGGTTAGAAATAAATGTTTGTGCCGTAAACTAGTCTGTTTTGTTGCTCATGCATTTTTCTGAACCACCCGCAACAAACATATATCGCATTCCTGTTCATTTGCCTTGAAACTTTGATCATTTGCATGTTCGATCAAGATGTTTTTGCATGCCAAATTTTGTCATGATCGCAAAAGTCCTTCTTTTTGCTTCGATTTTTTTTTGCAAAAGATTGTACATTGATGATATTTTTGTCATCTTTTTATTGTTCATGTAACTAAAATAAGTTGTATGAAACACTTATCAATAAAACCATGATTTCTAACAGAAGATAAAAGTCCTCTTAGTGTTAGGTGCTATTGAAGAAAAGTTAAGTGATAATGAGCAGCTAGAAATTTTATGATAAAAAGTAGCGTTAGTTTGCGGTAACTAAGATTTCTCCTAAATTCTTCTCGATCAATATAGGAAAAAGAAGGGGAAAAAAAAAAATTGCAAAATTTGTTTCACTGTGATGAAGTTAAAAATTAAAAATTTTTTTAGTATGTTAAGCTCCTGGTCTATTCTTTAAATAATTCTATGAAGTTTGATTTAAACTGTTCCAACTGAAATAAAATTTGCCTTAGAAAAGTCGCTGAAATTGATTTTAAGCAATTATAATCTTGGTACTATTGTATTAAAATCCTTATTATTTTTAGATTGAGTTTCATGTTATTATATGGAACAATTTGTAATTAAAATAAAAAATATGTTATTTTTATTGATTGCTCTTCAGTCTTTTATTTTTATATTGTGTAAATTTTTTAAATCCATAAATATAAATTTTGATGTAGATACACTTTTGAAAACTGAAATAAGCTTTTAAAGGGTCTTGCTGACTATGGTTTGCATTTCTGAGGTCAGTGGCATAGCTAGTGCATTTGCCACCCGGGGTGGACCACCTCTCGCAGTGCAGACACAAAAATCAAATCTATAAAACATCAAAATGACATGTAGGGTAAATAAATAAACTCCCTGTATTAATTTTTGAAATAAAACTTTATTCCAACATTTTGAAGTGCTATTTTTATTTTTTCTGTTTGCAAAATTTTCGATGACATTCTGAAATTTGTTTCATTACTTCATCTAGTCATCTTTAGACAGAACTGTATTTATTAAGTACGTGATACTAATTTTTAGGTTTTAGGTGCTTCCTAACAACTTGCATCTAGAAAAAACTCCTTTCACACCCAGTAATAATGTAATAATAATTGCACTGATTGTGAGAAAAATTTGAAGTAGAATTATAATATATAAAATTTCATTTTAAAGACTGTATTTTAGAATAAATAGTATAAGCTCTGTACTTCCACTTCTTGGTTTCATCTTCCCAAGCAGTAATAGAAATAAAATTCTGGAGTATTTCTCATTCAGTGAAGAAATCTTCCTTATTTATTTGATTAATATCATAATTTAACGGTCATTTGTATTTTTCATTCAAAAGTTTCAGTGGAGTAGGGAAGGCTTAGCAAAAAAAAAAAAAAAAAAAAAAAAAAAAAAAAAAAAAAAAAAAGGAAGCTATTGAGATCTCTTCGTAATTTCTTTGAATACTTTGTAAAGTTTAGTTTAAATATCACAATAACAATCAAAAACAAAGTCCATCATTAAGAATCAGCGTAAATTTAAAAAAATCATTTGGATAATAACATTTACACCATAAAAAATTCAATAGAGTTTGTAAAAGAATTATTCTCCCCAAAACTTCCTCGTGGTTTCTTTTGATGTTGAAATATAAGCAGGTTAGGTTATTTAATTACGCCAAAGCCTCGAGGGCTATCTGCCTAAGGGGACGGATGCCTTTGTGGAAGACTTTCTAAGGGAAACTGACTCTACACGTTACACATGGGGAAAACCACGAAAACACCCAAAATATATTAGCAAGGATTGGACTAAGAGGACTTCTCATGGCTAATCCCTCGGTTTGCTTATTATACTTATTGTAGAAAACAAAAGACTAAATGACTAATGTTCCAGTGGAAGGTGCATTAAGATGTCTAAAAACTAAAACTAAACTCAATGGCGTAACAGCCCTAATTAGCCAAGGCCTGCAGTGCCCGAAATCTGCTCTTGACCATGGGCTCCAGGATGCGAAAGCATATGCCCTGAACAAGTGGTATGCTTGTCGCAGGACCCGCAGTGTTTAGTCCCCAAGCGAACTTGGTACTCATTTTATCGAACCAAGAGATGTAAATCAAGGGATGAAAGTCTGAGTCGACCTTGCCCAGCCCGGTAATTGTCTAAAAACTAGACTTCTTGAATTTCATTTCTCCTGCATCGAAAATGATGAACTAATTTCACTTACTCATCTCTGCTTGAAACAAAACACATTTTGTTTTCCGTAATAAGAATTGTAAGCAAACCGAGGGATTAGCCATGAGAAGTCCTCTTAGTCCAATCCTTGCTGATATCTTTTGGGTGTTTTCGTGGTTTTCCCCATGTGTAATGTGCATACGAGCCAGTTTCCCTTAGAAAGTTCTCCAATAAGGCATCCCTCCACTTAGGCAGAAAACCCTCGAGGCTTTGCCGAAATTAAATAACCTAACCTGCTGATATTTACATGCATTATTTTGAATAACAATTATTTGAAACTTTAAACTTCCCAGTTTGGTTCCGCTACGTAGACGATATATTTACCTTCTTTAATGGTAATAAAAATGCTTTCAATAATGAATTCCATTGATCCTGCTATTCAGTTCACTTTTGAACTTGAGACATCCGATTCTCTTCCATTCCTTACCATTTTAGTCACACGTAACATATCTGACTTCAGTACTACTTTTTACCGTAAACCTTCACCGGTTTACCTTCCACCACACTTCAAATTGTCATCTGACGAAACAGAAGTTAGCTTCATTTTATTTCTTGGTTTTTCATGCACTTCAAGTTTGCTCCTACAAATTAACTCTTCATCAAAAACTAAATTATTTAGAAGCAGTTGCTACTGACAGGGGCTTTTCACCCAACATTATTAACCGTGCAGTTAAAACATTCTCATCGGAACACATCAAAAGGTACATTCTTGTTTTAAGTGATTGTAAGAATTTTGTTTTCATTCCTTTCTTTTCGTCAATTAGCTATAAAATTGCACGTATTTTGCAAAAATTTAACTTTGAGGTTGTTTTCTCTCCTGTCAATAAAATTCCTAGTTCCATGCTTAAGGACTTCATTCCGGATATGGATTCCTGGGGTATTTACAGGATTCCTTGCCAGTGTGATTTAATTTACATTGGTCAAACGAAAAGAGCCTTAAAATTTCGTGTTAAAGAACATGAGGCTATGTTAGGAAAAAGGAAACACAGAAATCCGCTGTTGCTTAGCATTGCAGGAATGAAAATCACACTTTCCTTTTTTTTTGCAGCCTAAAGTATTCAGAAAACATCCTCCATTGGCGAATGAGATTTTTTTAGCAAATCCACATCCAAAAAACATTTCTGTTCTAGTTAATGTCCCCAATTGCAATCAATCCTTACCTTCAGCCTTTAAAGAAATTTTGTTTTAGTTTTTCTTATTTTATCAATAGATGGTGCCAGTAGCATAATTTCTGTCCAAGTTTTCTTATCTTTCTGCACCTTTTATTTGGTTCATTTGCACTTAGCAGCTGAAGAAGGTAATTAAAAAACTAGCGAAACTTGTACTGCAAAATATTTTAAAAAAATTTATGCTGGACTTTGTTTTTGACTCTGTGCAGTGTAAAAACAATTTCCTGACCAATTGAGTTTTGTATCACAGTACAGTATGTCGCGATTTTTTACCTCACCAATGACTGAATGAATAGAATGGTTAAATATAAATAGTTCGGCCTGGGATGAAATCACAAACAATAGGCCAGCTGCCTTATTTGTAACCTAAGGTATATAACGCATTCATGCATGCAATGATATGAATGTGAGCCGGTGCTTTTGTAACTTGAATGCGAATCAGTTCCTAATTTTTAAGCCCTTTGTGTAAAATTTTAGCCCTCCACAAAGACATCCTGCCCCTTAAACAGATAACCACAGTAACCTGCGAGCGCGCACGCGGGGTCCAATGAACCCTCCCGATTAAAGAAACCTTTCTGAAAACACCTTTATTTTCCCCAAGTGGTTGTGATTCAGTGTAGTCTCTTCCAAGGCCATCCTCTTTATTTTTCCGAAGTTTTTAGCTGGAAATTTTATTCGAAATTTTGTTTTAATCGGATTGGGTCTTTCAGACCCAGCGCGCCTATTCGCGTTGCTGTAAGATAGTTCATTTGTGGTAGCACAAAAAACTGCAAATATGTGGCGTAATTTATCCTATAAGGAAGAAGTATTACTTTTGCAAAAATTATTTGATGTATCAACTGTTGAAGAGTCCATTGAAGAAACTGATGCTGAAAGTTATAATAAATTTTTTAGTTCTCATGAACACTGATTTAGAAATCGAGATGGATTCTGGAAACAAAAATGATAATGACATTTATTGCTTTTTTGGAAAAGACAAAAAAACCCAATTGTAAAAAGAAAGTCTAAAGCTGATGCTACAACTCCTCCTTATAATAATTACTAAATTGCCTGGAAACATTGGTAAGGCAAAATATGTGTAGATTCCAAATGAATCATGGTAACTAAGTGAACAAAAGTTGCTGAAAGTCGTCAGTTATACAAATATTTATATTGCATCCATTTCTGACAGCTTTCAAAGAGAGAGAGATGCTCATAACACAACTCTAACTGAAATTTGCACTTTTAATAGGTCTTTTATATTTTTGTGACATGAGTCATTTCATGTAAATGTGCGGGATCTGCTGGCAGTAAATGGAACCTGCTTGGAAATTTTCTCAAAACTATGTCCTACAAATGTTTTCTTTCTTTATAAAGATGTTTACATTTTGATGACAGAAACTCGCGTTGTCAAGAACAAATCAGATAAACTTGCACCTATAAGAGAGTTTTTTTGAAGATTTTGTGAATAACTGCCAGAAATATTACACTGTCTATGAAACTGTTATGAACTCATTTATTGTTATGAATAACTGCCAGAACAGTTATTCATAACAATAAATGAGTTTATAACAGTTTCATAACAATTAATGAAAAATTTGAAGCCTTCCTAGGAAGATGTTCTTTCAAGCAGTATATTTCTGATAAACCTGAATAATAATATAATGAATTCTTAGTAAATTCTATATTAATATAATGCGTTTTTCTATTTCTTTAAAAAATTTTATTTCATAAAGAATATCATAAAATTGAAATTAAAATTTTAATTTTTATAGTTTGCATGTTTTTCAAGTTTGATCATAAAATTTTGGCATAAATGTAACACTTTTACCTGAAGAGCAATAGTTTTTTCTTCAAAAAACAGGAGCCGGGAGCGCGCTTGTGTAACTCAAAAGAGCGTGTGCCCTCCCGGGTTAATGCAATAAATCTCAATTATGTTTTCTGCTCCAAAGATCCCTACAACTAACTCCTGTATGTTTCCCATGAAAAATGCTGCCTCTCAAAATGTGCTGCATGCCCCCTTTAGCTATGCCATCATCTAAGGTGATGTGTGAGGTAGTGCTTTTTTGGGAAGTAATTGGTATTTTCTATTATGTTTTCAATATTGCATGTATCCGTTTTTATGTACTGCTGCTTTATATGACAAATGAATTTAAATGTACTATATTGTTTACTGCTAGTTTTATTTTATTTTTTAATTACCTGCAAGCTTATTTGCTGTTGAAATTCTTAGTAAAATGTTTCTCAATTTCATTCATATAATTTAAATTTATCTTATAAAATGTTTTCCTTTAAAGATGAAAAACGAGGTGTTGATGATTTCAAAGGAAAGAGGAAGGGTCGAGCTGATAGCAACATCAATAAAGTGAAGAAAACTGTTGCAAAAGCAGAACAGAATCAGCCAGCTTCTGATTCTTCATCAGAAGATGATCCTGAAAAGTTGTGGTGCATCTGTCGAAAACCTCATAATGACAGGTATGCCTACTTTGTTATGTGTATAAATGCAGTAGTGATGGGTTTCCATTTTGCTCTTTAAAAAGGGGGTATCATTTTGGGCAATGTTTAAAAGATGTTATTTATGACAATTAAAAGTGAAATAACCTATATAAGTAGTATTTATTATATAATAATCTAAATAAAAAATAATTATCAGTATATGTTATGTGATTTTAAATGTGTAATACATATGTTTAATTTCTTTGTTATAAGAATAAAGTGTAGTTTTATAGATAGACTGGTGTTACATAAAATATATTAGGATTAATATTTTTCTGTCATGTAGCCAGTAGAAGAAAGTTAACATTTATATAGGAGTATAAAGTTACTGTCTCTCCATGACAATCAAAACTATAAACATGTACTATATAGTTTAAAACTTCTCAAGCTGTAAGAAATATGTCTTTATTTTACTGCCGATTTGCTTTATTGCAAGTATGAAATGTTAATGCATAGGATTACTAAATTGGAGCACCAATGACAAAAGTATCCATTCACAGAAAATGCTGGAAATTACTGCCATGTTCTTCTGTATACAAATTCAGATAATGGCATATATTTCTTGCCACTTTGTCCAGAATCCTGACAGGGATATTCTACATGACACTTTATGATGCTGTTCCTATCTTTCAGTTTCTAATATGCTTTTAACAGAGCAAACCTGTATTCATGCATAAACTCATGACACATTGATTGTCTTTGCATTTATCCCAGACAACAATACACACAAATATTGTCCATTGTTAGAGTAAATAATATTTTGAAAAGAGTTTGAGATTTTTCTGTATCATAATTTATATCTTTAACCCTCCAGTTGAATTTAGGGCATTTACAGTTGCCTCTCTTGTACTTTTTGCATATGTAGGAAAAAAAAAATATGATAGCATTGAATCTTATTGTTAGATATGACAGCTAATGTATACCATTTTGTCCATTCATCAACTTATTTCTACCTAAATAATCTCAAAAATTTAAACACAACCAAACATGTTTATTCTACCAACTTAATAACATTTTACAGCTGTTGCCACTCAAGCAAAACTAAAATGAAAATTAATAATACACTGGTTGAATGTATATGAACTATGCTATACTTAACATCTATTTTGATGCTTAAACATATTAATGTAATGAAGTGCACCTTGAAAGAACTGAAATATTATACCATACAGAATGTACCATACAAAAGGGCTTTCTAAAACAGATTCATATATAGTGTGGTCTCCTTTCTGTGGGTCTTATGAAAGCTCATAAGTACATTCTTTAATACATAAAGATCAGAAAGCTCATAAATACATTCTTTAACACATAATCATCAGAAAGCTCATAAATACATTCTTTAATACATAATCATCAGAAAGCTCATAAATACATTCTTTAACACATAATGATCAGAAAGCTCATAAATACATTCTTTAACAGAGAATGATCAGAAGCCGTTAAATCAGATTATGTAATTAAGCACATCAGGAGAAGGAGACAGAGAACTAGGGTTTCTTATTCCTATTTTCTTGCCAGTAGTCTCTTAAGACAAGTCTTTTCTTATAAACATTTTTTTATTGCTTCGAATTTGTTAAAACTCAGCAATCACAAACATTCATGCCTTTTTGAGGCTTTGAACTGAGCATCGATCAGGTTGGGTTGGAGCCAGTGAGTTGAATATAACTTTTTATGCATGTAGAATGTAACTTCTTTTTATTAATATGAAATAAAAGTACATAAAGGGCAGTTTTTATTAGGATATAAAGTAATGTAATTTTTATTGAACGATTTCAATTAATCTTCAGTTAGTGTCATCATAAAAATTATGCGTTAAATGTCAAGCAAAAGAAATAAATCATATGTCCTTGAAAGTGTTTTAACAAAATAGTTTGAAGGGATCAATAATTTATGGGCAAATATCAAAGTGTAATTGAAAGAAGTTTTTACTTTACATTTGCAATAAATTTTTGTAATAATGCCATTTGACTACTAATGTTGTGTTCAGTAACTGTTAACTATCAAAATTCTCTGAAGTTGTCTGTTCCATTATACAGTACAACTCTAATTATTCGAACTTCGACTATTCAAATCACTTTCAGAGTTAAAGTCAGTGCCTGATTAGGTCAACAAAGAAAAATTTAAAAAATACAAAAAAAAAATTAATATGTAAAAAAACTGTATTAATATCAAGTGTCATCCACTACAAGTTAAAAAAAATGTATTTGAACTTGAGTGGATGAATAAAAAGTACTTTATTAATGATTGAAAATTAATTAAATAAAAACTTTTTGTAAAGTCAATAACCTACTTAGGTCAACAAAGAAAAGTCTTAAAAATACAAAATGAATAAAAATAGAAAAAAAAATTAATTAAAAACTTTAAAAAATTAATATTTGAAAAAAAAAACTGTATTAACATCAAGTGTCAGCCACTACAGGTTTAAAAAAATGTATTTGAACTTGAGTGGATGAATAAAAAGTATTTAATTAACGATTGAAAATTTGAACAAGATATAGGGAGAGTGTGAGCTAATAGTAGGAATTTTAAAAATTAAGACAGAAACGTAGTGTTGGACAACCAACATTTTCAGACATTAAAAAGAACAAACCTACACTTTTAAACTTTGCGTCACTAATTGAAAATGAAGGTGGAAGTTTTTCAAGAAAATCGACGCAGCAAAACGATGCAAACAACAATTTCGAAGATGTCATTTTTTCAAGTGGTTTTTGCAGCAAAGTTCTATGAGAATTCAAATTTTGCGTCCAATTCTTTGTGAAAAAGCTGAGATTGTAGCTAAGAAGCTTGGTTGTTTATCCTTTAAAGCAAGTAACGCTGGATAAGAAAGGTACGTTGTCCGTTAAACAGCATGTTTTGACCAAGATGTTCAGCAAGTAGTGACTTTCAGCACTTTTAAGGATTGTACAGTTTCTTATATATTATGTATGCAAAAGTGTAGCCTTTTCATTTTAATTAATTAAAATTTGTTTTTCTTTAAAAATAGTTATTCTCCCTTTTCTGACACGCACTACATACAGTAATTAATTTTAATAATAGTTTACATAGCTTTCTTTGGGAAAAATCCAGTTATCCAAATTTTTGATTATCCGAATAAGATCTGGTAGAGTAATTTTTTATTGCTCATTTATATAACTTGCTTTTTTTAGCTTTATTTATTATTTTATTTAAAATTTAGAATAAAATGTAATAAACACGTATTTAAAGCTTTGGAATTTTAGAAATTGATCTCTTGAAGTTTCAGTTCCCAAGCAGCCAGTTTAATTTAATCAATGTTTTTGGTTAGTTTTTTCCTGTATGTTTTTATTGCTTTTAATTGGTTGTTTTATTTAAGTAATGTTGTTTTTAAAATGTATTAGTTGGTTTTATTTAAGTAATGTTGTTTTTATTAGATTTCCTTCCCCCCTGTATGTTTTTATTGCTTGACATGTAATAATGCATTTGTTGTGATTTTCTGCTGTTATGTTGTATTAATAACTAATTTATGAGAGACATCTGAGGAACATAAACATTAAAGGCACTAATTCCACTTGTTAAGTTCCTAAAAATCTATTTCTTTTCCCATTCTTTTCTGCTGTGCAATATAAGAAAACTAAACATTCCATGTTAAACGAATGTCTTGAGGCATCACTTATTGTTTAGGTCAGTTCTCTTATTACGGCTTTGCCTTGCCAGGTGCTGGCACTACTCAGCCAGTGCACTCTCAGAACAGTTCTGGGGGGTTCACCCCCCTTCCCTGCACCTTGGAGACATTGACACCAATCGCCATACAGTGATGCTGGTCGTCTAGATGCTACTTGCCAGTTGCTTGGGCTGCCCGTCGCAGAGGGATATTACCTAGCGTACACAGGACGCTACCCCCAGGCTTCTAGAGCCGCTCCACTCTAGGACACACCAGACCACCGGGCTTGCCAATAAGTGACCTTTCCAGGGCCTTCAGAACCACTTAGGTTTATAAATTTTATATACCCATGGCCGAGACTGCCTAGGTACAGATCCTAGCCAGTAGCTTTGCAGAGTTCTCTACGTTGACCCCCAGGAGGGATTGTTTAGGTCAGATAGATAAATTTTAACAGCCCCCACAACCACTTAAGGGTCGAAAGTGTAGTCATGGCCACAGTCAATGCTATATGAGCTTTGCAATAGTTTAATTACCTAGCTGGCAGGTGTTTGAAAGTGATATGCAGGAATTTCAGTTTTGAGAAAAGTCACTTGTACAGGAGGCTGTTTTTCGAGCATTATATTTGCCATTCCTAGAATTTGTAAGGGGAAAAAAAATTGCTGGCGGTTTGAAGGTTGAGATATTTAAAAATTCTGGATCTTGGGCTTCCTACTGTATTGGCCTTTGGAAGGTTAAACACGATATCTAACATTACACATTTTTACCTTATACACTTTTGAACTTTTCAAGTTTAAAATTAGTATGTTAAGCATTATCTTAATTTTCAGCATTTTAATGTTGTTAATAGTGTTGAATTTGTAATTTTCAAGAATTTACACATCGTGATATTTAAGTATTCTTTTTTTGTAGTATTATTTAATTTCTGTTATATTTTAGATAGGATACTGTCATTTAATTATTTACACATGTAGTATATCATTCTAAAATGTATCAACCAAACTCTTTTCTATATATTTTTAAATAATGTTTTTATGCAGGAGTTCAAGAAAACTGCATGAATTTAGAAACTTAGATAAGAGATATGTTAAGATATTCTTTTAGTAGCAAATATGTAGAATAATATCTTTAATTTCATTTTCAATTTCTAAATTGTTTTTGCAGGTTTATGATACAGTGTGATGCATGTGAAGACTGGTTTCATGGATCTTGCGTTAATGTGACCAGACAACTTGGTCGTCAGCTTGAAAAACTAAAAAAAGAGTGGAAGTGTCCTAATTGTCAACAGAAAGGTAAGTAAGATACATTATATTCTGAAGCCAAGTTTTCATGTACATGGTAAGATCAAGTATTGGTTGCATGTACATGGTAAGATCAAGGGATTGGTTGCATAGGAGAATTCACGTTTTGCAGAGTGGTGTGTGTTAAGAAAACAATGGCCTAATTCTCCTGTACTGAAAAGCATTAGTAACACCCGATTGCAGTGGTACATTGAGTATTCTGAGTTGGTATAGAATTCTGTGTGCAGTTGAGTTGGTATAGAATTCTGTGTGCAGTTGAGTTGGTATAAAATTCTGTGTACAGTTAGATAAGTATTTAGTGGTAGTGTATGAAATATTGAAACAAGTGGCAGTAACACTGTGCCCTATTAGACAATCTTAGTGGTATTAGAGTTACTGATAGGTTTTGAGAATGATGAGCAAGTTAGTAAACATAGCAGCCAACCAGTAATATAAAATAATGAGAAAAATGGCAGTTACTGTGATTCTTTGCATGAAATTCCTGGCATGAAGTGCATTTATATTTAAGACTCAATTCTTTGTCTAGCTCTTAAAATCCATGTTTTCTCCTCTCTAAGTGTTTCTGCTACACGTCCATGGTTTAGTCTTTCATGGCAATCCTTAGTGGAAGATCGAGTACTTGGCAACAAAACTGAATGTACTTCTTTTGTATTAAATATTAGAAGGGTTTTCATCCGCAGAGAACCCGCTGGCGCTTCGAGAAAGAACCCGTTGGCGCCGTTGCATTTTTACTCGCCAAGCTCGCCGTTCATCGATGATGAGCCGTGATATTTTGTAAACGTGATTTTTAGTGCATGTAAATTCAAATTAGCAGACAAAACAATATATTAAGCATATGGTAGTAAAAATTCACAGATAATAAGCATGTAGATGTAAAACTAACCGGTTAAACGTGATATACGAAAATAAATTTGTATTAAATTCAAATTAGCACAGAAAAGAATATATTAAGCATAAGACAATATATAAGGATTTATAACGGAAATAAAAATTCATTTAAAAAATATAAATTAACCGGTTAAGCGTGATATACGAAAAAAATTTGTCTTAAACTCCAGTTAACATAGAAAACAATATATTCCTTACACCAGCAGTGGTTTGCCAATTTTGATCATGTTGATGCCGAACTATTCTGTCATCTTAGATAATCAATGATATTTTTTATTTCAATTTAATCATCTACTTATTTCACACCTGCCATCCTCTGAAAGGTTATTGTTAGAAAAACATTAACAATATATTATCTTGTAAAGATTTTGCGCCATAAAAATTGATTTATTCTCATAATTTTAGATGACAATAACCAATAATAAAAATAAAAGCATTTCTTAATTATTTAAAATGCACATGCACATTTTTGCGGCCTACGAAATTATTTTAGAGGTTGGAAACCTCATGGTTCTTAAAGCTGTTAATAATTAAGAACACAACGTGAACAGCCGTGTTACAAATTAGCATTCACCCCTCCCGCCATATTTTCTTCCTTTCTTCGCGAACCGAGAACCGGCATATATCTACGAAAATATTTCTATCTGTTCGTTGTTAAAAAATTCAGAAATAATAATAATAAATAAGAGAAGAATAATATAAATTTGCAAATGTGAACAACGACAGTGATAATTCAACAAAATGAACGCATGAGAAATGGTTGCAAACTTCGAACAAGCGAATAGATAAATCCGATGGGTTACCAGGTTTGAACTGTTATAGCCAAAGTTGGCGATGTTTACATTTACCGGGTTCTCTGCAGAAGTGCTTCCTATTAGAATATTGAAGATGTCCTCTGATTAAAGTTATTCCTCTTTAATCTGCCATGTGGGCCATACAGAGATCGTGTCAGTAATGCTGCAACTTGCAATGATAATTCCTAGATTTGTTGCTGGAGCGATGAAATATCAACAATGGGATACTGAACTTAATTAATTGCTTGTGGCTGGAGAACATAATGAATTTTGTCTGCCATCTGGTCCAACTGGGGTACATTCTCATTACTAGTGGCAAGAATAGCCTGGATATTGCTCGGAAGACGGTTAAGCCACAATGATTGTAAAACAAAAATTGTCACATGCAAGTTCCTGCATTTTTTATGGTAAAAGGGATGGGCACATATCTCCAAGTTGCAAATCCTGTGACAGCTGCTTTAGTTTGGTATTTTCAGACTCTTCATACACTGAAATTAATTTATTTTTCAATTCCCCATATTTGTTATCTGAAGGTAGTTTCAAAACTACCTCGTGGACTGACTGTAGAATTTTGGTGTCAAGGGCAGAAATTGTGGTATAAATTTTCATGTCATCCCGTTTTATACCTATGAGCTTCAATCGAGTGTCTAATTGAAATAAATAAATAAATAAATAAAGGACTGAGATCATTACAGCAAAATGGGGTAGGTTTTACAGCAATGCAAGCCATTTGATAGTCATCAGCAGTTAGGGGATCACTTGTAGCCATTTCAATGATACCAATAATGCGTGATTCTGGTTTTGTAACTGCTACTGTGACGGGTGAGAGGTACACCGATATGTTACAGAATCGCATCGTCTCCAGCCTGGCTGATAAACACCTGCTGGAACGTACGATTTTTATGCAGGATGGTGCTCCACCCCATATTGCTAGACATGTGAAAGATCTCTTGCGCACGTCGTTTGGTGATGATTGTGTGCTCAGCCGCCACCTTCGTCATGCTTGGCCTCCCAGGTCCCCAGACCTCAGTCCGTGCGATTATTGGCTTTGGGGTTATCTGAAGTCGCAAGTGTATCATGATCGACTGACATCTCTAGGGATGCTGAAAGACAAAATCCGACGCCAATGCCTCACCATAACTTCGGACATGCTTTACAGTGCTGTTCACAACATTATTCCTCGACTACAGCTATTGTTGAGGAATGATGGTGAATATGTTGAGCATTTCCTGTAAAGAACATCATCTTTGCTTTGTCTTAATTTGTTATGCTAATTATTGCTTTTCTGATCAGATTATTGCTTTTCTAATAAAACCCCATGTTATTCTAAGTATGTGTGTCAATTTTTACCTCTCTATCTACATTATTCCATGATTTATTAAGTTTTCAAATTTATACTGACTTTTTGATCACCTGGTACATATAAATAAGCACAGATAAAAATAAAATGATGCAGTTCAGGAATGCAGTTGCAGTGCGCGTGAAGCACTAAATACATATAAATGAACATGGATGAAAAGAAAATGATGCAGTTCTGGAAAGCAGTTGCAGTGCATGTGAATCACTAAATACGTACAAGAAATACTAAATAATAGATGTTATGGCCTGGGTTAAAATGGTCTACAGCAGAGAGATACATAAAAAAAATGAAACTCACCCATTTGACAAATGCATACATACACTATTGATTTTGTTGAACTAACTGGTATAAAATATCACAAAACACCTCGATGCACAAAAAGCATCCAGTCCCACGTTGCTGGAACCTGATCACCAACAAATACATTAAAAGTAATCCAATATGCACAATAATACAAAAATATTCACTGAAATGCATTTCACACATTATCACCAACCACTGTTTATTATAGAAGAAATTCTCATTCCTTAAAATTGCTTGGATTCATTCCGATTAAGCATGTGCACAAGTCACCATTTGTCATGGAATGCTGAGTGAGACAATAAATATCTGTAGAGGCTTGGCTAGGTTTTACTGTATGATACACATAGAGATGTATGACACACATAGAGATGATTGATTTTAAATAATAAACCTTTAACCACAACAATTACCACATAACTACTCATTAAATTAATTCTGAAGATATTTGTGTCAGAGAATAAATCTGACTGAAGTGACGACAGAGTGTGAAGTGTTTGTAGTGCATCCTGAAAATCTCTGTTACAGTGACAGCTAGAGATTTAGGCATACGGTTGGCGAGTAACAAAAACAAGTTCCTTTAGTATTCCCACACTATGATCAGAGTTAATATGATTCAGTACATTATTAGAGTATTCCTTATGTTTTGTCCACTCATTGCAAGTTGGCTGTTCCGTATCTCATTCACCCTATTTATAAGAAAATGAATACTGTTACTTGTTTTAGCTCTATATATAATCGAAAAGTCTTATAACTAGAAAATGAAGAATTACTTGACCATGAAGGAGATTTTTCCCCCCTCTGTACTGCAAGTGTATGAGTTTGATAAATATTATATATGCTGAAAGATTTTACGAGGTTAAAGTGGTTGCAACGTGATGTATGTGGCTTTATATAAGCAATGTGAATGTGTTTCCTTGTGCTAATTTTTAATCAGTCTTTATGTAGAAGAATAAATCATTTACATAATGTTATAATTTCTGTTATTTTCAGAGCAAATGATAACACTAGAGTCAAAGCCAACCACAGAAAATTCATCAACAAGTGCAGTACTGCAGAAAACGGTAAAATCTTTTCTCCCTAACCTATTTAGCATATTATGTTTACTAAGTTTTTCTTTATTCAGATTTAAGAAATTCATGTTAAATGTTATTGGAAATATAAGCAAAGATCTGTTTTGTATGTAATGGAAGATATGGATGTGTGATTAAATAAACATGCAAGTATATTTATTGCTTAAAATTTTAAACGCTTTTGAAATTAGCTGAAAATTTAAGAGGAAGTTTTAAGTATAAGAGGAGTTTTTATAAAGTACATTTCTGAATTTTTGATAAAAATTAACTACATTTTGTTGGTTTTTCCATGTGTGTTGTTATATTGATAAACGTTGAAATGTAAAGGTCACTCAGAAATGTTTTTGAGATATACGTAACTAGGGTGGATGTTTTATCACTGATGTGTTTCTGTTCAAGAAACTCAACTGTCAGTCTTACAGAATGAAAAGATGCATTGTCATGATGGAGCAGAGTCTTGTAACATTCACTTCTTGAAGAATTTCTGGAAGACAGTGGTGTACCAGTTCGCTGTGACTGTCTTCTGTCTTTCCAGCATGTTAGCTTTACCAATCCTGCATTTCTGAAGAAAACAAAATGGATTACTTTTTTATGGCACATTGTCTTTTCACCATTATGGGCTTGGGGTCACCTTCAAAGACTTATTCTTTAGTTTCTTGACATGCTGGAACATCAAAAAACGGTATGTACATTTTATCACCAGTTATAATTTTAGAATAGTTGGGTGGCCACCATCTTTAAGTAATTTAAGTTTCTTTTTCTTTTTTTGGCTGATTCTGGCACACCTCACTTTTTGGTGCTCAGTTAAATTATGGGAAACCAAAATGGCAAACTGTTTTTTTTTTTTTTTTTTTTTTTTTTTTTTTTTTTTTTTTTTCATATGCAATTCTTCAGGAATAATGTTATGTATATTGGTGGATCCAGTGTTAAGTTCCTTCTGTATCATTTGGTAGCTGCAGTGATTATCATCGATTAATTTTTCCGTATGGCAGTCACATTATCCAGGATTGTCGACAACAACCTTCTTGCGTGTTATTCTGAGAAGAGTTGTGAAATTCTGCAAACCATCTGAATGCAGTAGCATGAGATGGACGTTCATTTCCATATGTTAATTGTGGCTGTTAAATGCATTCTTGATTTAAACCCACTTTAAAATCATAGAAAATAATGTTCTCGTGTCAACTCCATTTCTCTTCGTAAAATTTAATCTATGCTAAGCTACTTGCAGGTGCCCAATAAAAAAAACTTACTTCTAGGCTAAAATAGTTCATATTTTCAACTCTAATAATTATTTTTTTTTTCTTCCACTTATCTGCATATATCTAAAAAATTGCAGAATGACCCTATATGTCTGGTGTGCAGCTTATGGCAAATATGTTAATTAACAATGTGTGGGGCTGTGTAATGTTCCAGGAAAATAGTGGGTAGTTACTAATCTTTGCTTAATATGCTAGGTTTTTGACTTATGAAAATTTGTAGCAAGTTCAGATTGAGTAATTCTTTATGGCCCAACTCTGTGGCTATTTATTTTATATGGATATTTTGAATTTCATTATATCCAGTTGTAGTGATACTAGTTTTCAATTAAAGCTCAGTCATCTATATATGGTTAATTTTGAGTTGATATTATAATTTGTATTTTATTTGACAGGATGTATCTGAAATTAAACATGTTAAAACCGAAGAATCGCACAAAATTAGTTGTAGAAAAGAAACTACCAGTTCAACTGAAGTTATATCTGCAAAATCAGTGCCTTCTAAAGTGAATGAAACTAATAATAATAATAATAATGCCCTTATGAAAAATGAACCTTTAACAAAAAAATGTGATCAAACTGAAGAAAGAAAGAAAGCCAACAAACAAGGTGAGAATTCGTATCATAATGGAGGAATCCCAAAAGTAATTAACAATATGGAGCATACTTTGTCGTTTGCTAAAAAGAAACAGTCATCAGGTTCTACGGATAAATTAGAGGGCAAGAAAGACTCATTAGCAAAAAATGAAACTTCTTCAAAGTCAGTGGGAAGAAAATTAAGTGATAAAAAGAATTCAATAAATCCTGCAAAACAGAAGGTAATAATTTTGTCTTTCTTAATCATGTATTTAGTTCCAACCTAATAGTGTTTTATTTTGTATTATGATTAACAGATGTTACAATTCTTCTGATAAAACTCTTCCTATGTGTTAAGTAAATTACCATTTTTGCCAGGTTTAATTTAGCCAAATTCAGATTATCTCTTTCAAATGCAGTTTTAGAAGAATTGTTTATCACTAAATGTTGAAGAAAAAGTCAATAATATGATGAAGCTACAGTTATTGGAGCATACTTGAAAAAAACTGCAACATTTATCATTCATTCTTCAGTTTCAAGAGTCTGCTTCTTCTGTCAGGTTGAGGGATATTTTCCATATAGTTTGGAATCCATAATTTTGGGGGGGGGAGGGACTAGCTATCCGAAACTTTGCCTTTGGCCTTTTTTTAAAAATTTGCATAGTTTATCAATGCAATTTTTTCATTGACATGTTTCATATTTTGCTTTTCTAAAGATTTAAAAGTTGAAATTAGGATCCTAAAATTGGATCTGATGTATGCAAGATTTCCTTCTTTAATTTTGTCTGTAGAGAAAACATTCTGTGCTTCTGTGCCATTGGAATTGGAGCAGCATCACCCATATCAGTAGGTGCACAAATCAAGCCATGGTCCTCAATGTATTATAACAGACTTTGATGCCAAAGCTAGATTAGAAGCTTGGAATTTAAAACACTGTATTTGATACGGTGCTTTAAGAATATTTTCTTTATGTTAGAAATAAGCTTGTCGATATTGGAGTAATCTGCATGAGTTTTTGTGAGACGATGCAACCCCAGAGTCAGAAAAGTCACATGCAGTATCTTGGATAAAATGTGTGTGTTTTTTCCCTGCTTTTTAATGTGTGTTCAGCATCTCCTAAAAAGAGCAACACATCATTATGTTGTATGCCATTTAGCTATAAATTGTTAAGTGATGCTGAACAAATAACAAATTGCAGAGTGTTTCGCTTTTCTCGATTGTTGAACATTAAAGTAAAAATATCTTGCCAGCTAAATCTGAATCCATAGCATTTATTATCACACTGTACAAATGATGACCATCCAAATCATTAGTTTCTTAACTTAAAAGTAATATTCCCCCCTCTTTCACAGGTTCTCTAATTTTCTCCGTTGTTTCCAAGAAGCAATTGTCTATAAAAATTTTTCTCTGTGTACATTTGTCAGTATCATTTGCATATTAAAATGGAAATAATAATTTTATCGCAAATTTTAAACAAAAATTTTAACTAAAATTCAGGTTTAGTTTTTCATACATTCAGATAATTACATTAATATTTTATGATATATATGTATATATAATAAATAAAAAAAAACAAGAAAAAAATTGGAACAAAAAAATTGCATATTAAAAATTTTGAAGGTTGAACCTAATTTCTCCAAGTTACATTATAAACTGGTAGAATGCAAATTAGAGAAAATTACAAATGTGGAATCAAATAATGTTCACTTCAAGGAGTGAAAACAAATAAAATATGGTAAATTTGTACATAACAAAACCAAAAATAATAAAAGTTATCTCTTTTGTTTAACACCTCAAACAGAACTTGTCAAGGGGAAAGTGTTTTGAAGCCTTAAACCAATTTGATTAATGAGTGCCAAAAACATGTTTTGTTCTTCTGGATCCATTGAGACTCCAAACCACTTTTTATTAATCCAAATTCATATCCAACAAAATTCAATTTAAATGTAAAAAAATGCAAGTCTTTTTCCCTACACGTCTTCACACTCATAAAGTACAAACAGCTATATACAATTGCAAAAAAATTAAAAAATCGTATGCAGACTAATATTAACTAAATTCAAAACAAAATTAAAAATGAACGTGTCAAGAAAGAAAGAATGTCTGAACATTGAACATAAAAAGCATTCATTTTGTGTATTTTAAAAATACATATATTATCTGGAATTGAAAAAAAAGCATATATAAAAAAAAAACTGTATGTGTATGCTTATAAACCTTGTGAGAAACCTTTGAAAGCTTAAAAAAAGAAAAAATAGGAAGCTGTAAAACTAAATAGAAAGCCCTTAAAGTATCAAGTTACATAATACTTGAAGTTACATTTTCTGTCTCAGCCCTTTGCAGAAAGATTTAAACAAAATATATGCAGTGAGGATTCTAATTTTTTTATTACACTGCTTGTTTTCACAGTACTTTTGAGACAAAAGAATCATTTGGCAAAAAGTACAGTTGGCAATCATATTTTGATTTCATGCCATTGGAAATCTATAGTTTGAGTGGGGAAATATGGTCAGCCTTTTATTTATCTGTTAAGTATTTAGTTTTATTTATGAATATTAAAAAAAAAAAAAAACTTCTTTCATTCAAGTTTTGACATTTAGCAACATTTTTTATACTTTTCTTGTTTAGTTTATAACACATTAAAAATAATATAAATTTAAATAAATGTATGTGCATTTTTGGTGTTTGGGAAAGGGCGTATTATCTAGAAATGGTGAAAGGAGTACACATGGCAAAAATGTTTGAGAACCAATGATCTAAGGGCAGTCATCTGCTGACAGACTACAGCTGATTGATAGTTTTTCCCCCTTTGCATGTAATCATGTGAAAATGAACATGTACAGAATGTTGTAAAGAGCTAAGAAATGCCAGTATGGAAATATTCTTAAAAATGGCATTCATAGCTAGTGGAAAAAGTCTGCTGTAATAGGTAGGACTAACAGATTACATAATCATTTTTCTGTGGATAGGGCATGCTTGCTTAGTAAAAATGAGTTCATAGGAGTTGAAACAGTTTTATTACTAGTGTAACTTTTTTATTTTTCAGTTTGGTTATCAGAGTATATTTCAAAATATTCTAAAAACTTAAAAAGTGCTTTAAAAGAGAAAATATTCAAAAAATGCATTAGATCAAAATCTAGGACCTTGGTTGTTATTATTATCCAATCTTATTTGATGAATCTTTTTTTGAAATGCAGATAATAGCATAACACATCTTAATAATAATGGCCTGAAGGTTGTCAGGTGCTTTGGACAGATTATGTTCACCAACAGACTTCTGTAATTCATATTTTTGCTTTATTTATGAAGCTCTAATTCACTTTGTTGCTAATAGTTTTTAGGGGCCTCATAAATTTTACTGCTAGGTGCTTCTAGCTAGTCCAGTCCATTCTTGAATCAAAGAACATAGTTTTTTTAATCTGAAAGCTGGATATTCTCTGCATAAGTAGTTATTAGTAATTATGGCTGAACCTATCGGTCATTTAGTTATCACTGAAAACATTGCCCGAGCTGCAGCATAAAGGGTGACTGGTATTACGTCTGAAAGGAACTGGGGTGACAATCCACAACTAAGTCTTATGTGGAGATTGCACCCACACAATTGGATTAGCATTTGGCATTCACTAATCAACTTATCATCCTGGTTAGGTCAAATATAAAATTTTAAAATGTAATTGGATTTTAGAAAATTTTTCTCACATACAGGGGTTGGACAAAAATATGGAAACACCTTTAAAAAAACATGTTTCTTTGCTTAATAAGGTGTAGGAAACCCCTTGGCATCCAAAACAGCTTGCAGTCTTCTCGGAATGGATAAATACAGTTCCTGTATGTTTGCCAAGGTAATATTATACCATTCTTCCTGCAAAACTAGCAAGTTCAGATAACGATGTTGGCGGTGGATAATGAGAACGCACTTTCCGTTCCAATGTAGACCACAAAGGTTCGATAATATTCAGGTCTGGTGACTGTGGTGGCCAGGGGAGATGGGACAACTCATCCTCGTGCTCAGAAAACCAGTCCTGGACAATGTGAGCCGTGTGAACAGGGGCTTTGTCGTCTTGGAAGACACCATCACCATCGGGGAACAAAGTTTGTACCACGGGATGAACTTGATCGGCCAAAATGTTCACATAAGTCTTGGCAGTCATGTGCCCTGACACAGTTATCATGGGGCTAGCAGAGAACCACGATATGGCTGCCCAAATCATAACAGAACCCCCGCCATGTTTCACTCTTGGCAACAAGCAGTCTGTATTATAGGCTTGAGATGGCGTTCTCCAGACGTAAACTCGGCCAGAAGTGGGAAACAATGTGAAAGAAGACTCGTCAGACCATATTACTCGCTTCCACTGCTCTATAGACCAGGCTTTATGACTTAAACACCATTTTTTCCTGTTACGGGCATTAGCATCACTGATGAGTGGCTTCTCAATTGCAGCACGGCCAGCAATTCCCTGTTTATGAAGCTCCTTTCTAATTGTTTTGGTACTCACAGGGTTCGGTAACACAACATTCATTTCAGCAGTAGCTTTTGCAGCTGTGGTCTTCTTATTTTTCGTCACAATTGCCCTTAATGATCGTCTGTCACAATCACACACTTTCGTCCGCGCTGTGATTTAGCAGATGATGTTTTTCCGTTTTCAAATATGCGGAATAAATCTTCGATACAGTACCTCTTGAAACACTAAACACCTCGGCTACCTTGCTTACGGAAGCACCTACCATACGTGCTCCAACAATTTGCCCACGTTCGAAGTCTGTTAACTCTGACATAATGCAATGACAACCTCACATAACAGTACTACGACAACAACTGAACTGTTTAGCACATTTACGAAGATGTATAGGTGGCGTCAGTAGTCAAAAACGCCAGCGCCACCTACATATTTCATTAAAATCAATCTTTCTTTTCAAACATGCATTTCACAGGGTGTTTCCATATTTTTGTCCATCCACTGTATTTCTATTTCATTATGAACACTGAAAATTTCAGAGTAGATATTTACGAGATAATTTTTTATTTCTAAAGAAAGATTGTCTTAACAAGGTTATTTCTACTACTAATCAGCTTTTTCTAAAGCAAGCAGATGATGAGAATGCTATGATGCCTCAATGGAAAGGAAAAAATTTAAATCTCTTGAATCAGTAAAGTAAGCACGATATTGCACACTGTAGTCTAAGATAAAAAGATATGATTTTATATAAGAACAAAATAATATTTGAAGCCCCTAGTAAAGAAAAAAAAGAATTGGGGGAAATTATTAAATGTGGGCATGATTATAGTAAAAGCCTGACTAGCCAGCATTCAACTGACAGAAAGCTCAAATAACCAGATATTTAAGGAATTTCAATAAAAAAGCTTCCTCCGCCAAAAAAAATTTAGTGAATGAGGGGTTTGTAATGTCATAATAGTGCTTATAATATTGTAAACACATGTGCATTGTTGCCAAACATTGTGATATAGTGGCAGTAATGGGTAAGCGGGATGTCGCAACACAATCATGAGAAGTTCGCTTTGGTTTAATGTAAATTCTATTATTCTCAAAGAACCAATTTAATTTTTGCAAGGAAGGATATAAAGGCAATTTTTTTCTTCCAAATTTTGAAAAAAAAAATTAATATTTGGGACTGTTAGAAGTGGAGTATTTATTTTAACAGTTACAGGATCTGAGCATTAAAAAATAAATAAATAAATAAATAAAGACTTTGGAAACAGATAAACAATGGCACTGTAACATGAAAAATTATGATAATCAATTTAAGTTTTTATATGCTAAATTTTTTTTTTTCAGCAAAAATTTATAATCGAAATGCTTTGGCTTTTTTCACTGAAATTTGACCCCCCCCCAAAAAAAATTATAGGTAATTTTAAATGTAGGCTTTTGATTTTCAATTTGGTTACAAAGAAGGTGTATTTTTTTATATATATATAATTTTAGAGCGGAAAATTTTCCTATTGATTTGGCGTTTCCAACGTGAATTCTTTATTTTTTTAATACACTTAGCTGTTTGGAATTTTCATACATCCAGAATTTCACATTTCCCAAGCTTTCCAGATACTTGAGCTTTTACTGTATATTACCCTAGCTGGGAAACAGCATTAAAAAATATTATTTCAGTAATTTTTAAGGACAAAGTTAGTATTCTATCACCATACTTTTAAAATATTTTCACATCATTGATTCTGAGAATTCTTATAAGGCAATATTATCCTGGTTAAAATAAAGTGGGGAAATGAAGTAATGAAAGTATGGCATTGTGACAATAGTAGGATGGATTTGTATTAATAAAAAATGTGTTCTATCTGTTTTTCTTTATCTTGAGGGTATCTGGAGTTCTTACTGTTTATTGCATTATTTTAGCAGTTAAAAGTATTTTGTGACGTATATTGTATCTGCAGTTGTTTTTGATTAGTTCCTTACTATTAATAAGTTATACTTTTCATAAAATTAATTTACTTTTAGACTTCAAAAGATGTATTGAAGCGTAAGCAACTTTGTGTTTCTTGTCCAAAAATTGCCTCAGAGAACTCTTGCTATTGTAGCCCAAATTGTATTGAAAAACATGTAGCAGATTGCCTAAAAATTATGAAAGAAACAAAAGGAGCCCTGAAGGTGAGTGCAGTTATCTTTATCCATCTAGAATAAAAAAGAAGTATAAAAACTTGTGATTTTGCATCAGTTTGCTGTCAGTTATCACATGCCAATTGTCTTGTGACATTTTCATTATTGCTAACACTAGAAACACTGTCACGTACGTCTCTTGATTGTAAGTTTGTCAGCATTTTCTGTTATTCACGTTTCCCCTTTGTCCTTCCTTTAAATGTAATATTTTAGTATGAAAGTTTATTATTATACTTCTGTTACCTAATCTGGCATATTTGAAATGTAGTGAAAGAGTAAGTTCAAACATTTTGCTGACTCTTGTAAAAAGATGCTGAATTTCTTTCTAACCAAGAAAGCAAATAGCTTTATATAGTCCTAGATAACCTGCTGTGCTTTATTGTAACACACTTATCAAAATTAAAGAATATTGACCGAAGTGAACTTTAACTATTTTAACTCTTACTAAAAAATTATTAAACAACAATTTGTACAAAAGCATTATCTAATGTAAATTACCAAATTTACTGGCTGATCAGTCTCAAAATATCGAATTTAAAATCAGTTATATGTGGCGAATGATTTTCTCTGTTATACAGCAAATTTTCCTGTAGTATGCTTTATTGTTCACCTCTATTGGAAATGCAGACACTTTGAGAAATATATTTAGATCTTTGGCAATGTTAATTGTGTTTGCACATCCACCAAGTCTGCCAGCTAACAACTACTTCTGCCTTTTACTTCATGATACCTTTAAGCCAGATCTAAAGAATACTGATCAATCGGATAATTATCTTTAAACAACATTGCAGACTTGAATTCCGACATTTATCCATTGTGTCAGTCACCTAATTTAGATATTTCAAATACTAACCTGTGCCAGAAGTCCTAATCTTCATTTAGTTGCAAATGATCTCTATAAATATACTTACTGACAGGAAAACTTAAAGGAACAACTACAAAAAGGTACTTAAATTCCAACAAAAAGTGGTGTGTTGCCCAAAGTCAACATTATGTAGTCCAACGGTATTCACCTTTTGCTACAGTAAAATGGGCCAATTTTGGCTCCTGTTCTTTCTTTCAGGCGTGGAAAGGAGTTTAAGGTAGTGCTTCAAATTCTAATTTCAAGGATTCTACTATTAGTTGAATAAAAGGTTTCCATGCAAAAGGTAGAACATATTGTAGAGAAAGCATTTGATGGATTGGGAGAATGGAAGAAGAATAGCTATTGGAACATTTTTAAAAACATAAAAGCATCATGTCAAGAATCTGAGTGATGTAACCTTTTCGCGACATTGCACCTTTGCTAAGAGGCTCGTGCGGGACGGAAGGGAATCGAAGGCAGTCACCGTACAGGACAGAGGTTTTGCATCGCTAAGACTAATTTTATAAAAAAAAAAAAAAAAAAAAAAAAAAAAAAAAAAAAAAATCAGAAAAAAAAAAGGTTTCTCTTCTAGCATCGTAATTTTTGGTATCATTTTAGATTATTACTTGAAATGTAGTGAAATTGTTAAAAATTAGCCTTTTTTCTCCTTTATTTTACATAAAAGTATACTTAAAAAATTGCTTATCTTGTAAAATATATTTCGGAAGCGCTATTCAAATTATTCCAAAGTTTTAATTGATAAAATCCATCAATAAAGTTTAAAATTAATAAAACAACACAATAAAGACTATTTACAGTAAGAAGCAACAAAAGTTAAAATGAAGACTGAGTGTGGTAAATTTTGAAGCACGGAGAAGTATCACTTTCTAACTCTTTAGAAAATGAATCATCACTCATTTGCATTAATAAATGGTTCATTGACCATATGAGGGTATTCCTCCTCTGATAAATAGCGCCTTCCCGCCATAATAGACTGGAGGTGAGGCTTTCCGAAATAAAAAGATATCCGAAGGCAATGAGAAACGTAACAATACTCCACATACTAACCCTAAAAGACCATACATAGTAAAGGAAAAAATAGAATAAAAAAAGGAATTGGATATAAATCAGACACTCAAATGTTTTCATTAGCACAGAGCGATTTAAAGAGCTCACCTCTGTTTATGCTTTCCTTCCCCCTCCTCGCAAGAGCTGATGAGTTAAATACCAAAGTCAAGCAGAATATATCAAACTCAAGGTCAGAAACCTAAAACTGTGTTCATTTCAAAAGTAATGGACATAGGCTGCCATCTACTGGCCTTCAGAAGAACGTTTCAGCTTAAAATGCATATACACATCACCCGTCCTCTGAATGCAATCTCTAGCGATGCGTGGATGGGACGCCCGGCTGTAAGAGACGTTCTTAGGGAATGCGTATATGGGATGCTCGTCCTGAAAGGGTTAAAGTCACTGGTGATGTATGTAAACATCCAGATCAAAGCTGAAAGCAGGCCTTGGCAGACTCATAAGCACCATTACTAGGCAATAATTGCTTAAAGAAATAGAGAGTTGAAGTTAGCCCAGATTCCAAGATAGTTTGTTGCAACTGCAGTGCACAAGGGAGAAGGGACACCCAGACCTGGCTAGCTAGAGGCTGCCGTATGGTTAAATGCCCCAACCCCTAGAGGTGATCCAAGAAGGCATAGCACCTCCAATCAACCCAGGAGGGCAGTTTTGTTTCACTAAATCTGGGTTTGTTAGTCACAAAGTCAATGGCAGATGGCAGCGCATGCTCGTAAAGGCATAGTACAGAGTTCAACATCGACCGCTCCCCAGTGTCGACTAAGGGGAGCTAAACTTCTGAGGACAACCATCGATATCAAACCATGCAGCATCCCCACAGTTAAGTGGCAGAAAATATAGAACCATATGGTCCCTGCCAAGCCTGAACCTATCACTAAATGATGTTTCTAGTCACTGTGAAGACTTCATTTCCCCTCAGGAGTCGAGGCTATCTAGATATAAACCTAGCCAGAACACAGGGATTGCTCCCAGTCAACCCCTGGTAGAATGCTACAACTAGAGATCAAGATATTTCCATAAATGACATGCTGCATAAAAGGGACAAGGAAACCCATAATTTGAATTCCACTAACTCGGGCTGTGAGAGGTTTGTAGATGCAGTGATGTAGAGATAATCATTATTGAAGTACCCTGGACTGAAGCTTTGATGAGCCTAACTTTTGTTTGAAGAGTGATTCCAAATGTTTTACAATCTGAAGGAAGCAAAATATGAACAGCAAGCCTAAAAATTAAAAAAAGTATTTCTTAAAAATACATAACCTAAAAAGGTATTTCTAAAAAATAGAGAGAAAACAAACAGCAGAGGAAAATGCGATGCTTTTTATTGGAATTACAAATGTATAGCTTTTTTTTGAACGACAGTATCGCGAAGCACGATCTCCTGATGACGACAACACTCACTGTTGCCAGAACTTATCTAAACTATATTTATATTATTATTATTTTTATTAACATACTTTAATACTTCCCCTTGTAAAAAAAAATAATAATTACTGGATGAATTACTGGAGTTTCACGTAACTTGATTACATCACTAAATAGTCGCTTTAACCAAATTACTTCTCTAGAACATTCACTAGCTGCAATTACTTCTGCTTCAGTCGTCGAAGTTGCAACAACTGATTGCCTTTGGCTAATCCATGATATAGCTCCACCACTATATAATATCACTACTCCACTCGTTGATTTTCCTGTTTCTGGACAGCCTCCAAAATTTGCATCACTATAGCATTCTAGAATTCCTGGTTTCTATTTATTCTTGTATGTAACACCTTAAGTTAGAGAACCTGCTATGTATCTGAATACACGTTCCGCTTTTTTCCAATCATCTTCCGAAGGATTTTCTAAGTAACGTGATAGAATATCAACACAGTAAGCTAAATCTGGTCTTGTGCCTAACATAAGATACATTAAGGCTCCTACGGCTTCTCTATAAGGAAAAATTTCTCCGTTTGATTTATCTTCCTTTTTCTTTTCAGTTAGACCTTCCTTCAGGATAGGAGTTGACACTGGCTTGCAATCTTCCATCCCATATTTTTGAAGAATTTTTCTTGCATAAGCTTGCTGACTAATTTTTATACTTCCATCTTCAAGATGTTTAATTTCAAGTCCAAGAAAGTATGCTGCTGGTTTAGTTGTGATTCTGAGTCTCGACTTCAATTCTGTGAGAAATTTTTCAGATTCTTGTAGATCTGTTGATGCTACTAGACCATCATCTACCTATAAACATACGATTAGCTTCTTGCCGTTATTGTTTCTTATATATAAGCATGGATCAGCTTCACTTGTCTTGAAGCCCAGCTGTGACACAAAATCTCCAAAATATTTATTCCAGCAGCGTGATAATTGTTTAAGTCCATACAAACTGCGTTTCAACTTACAGACTTTCTTCGAACCGTCACTATATCCTTCTGGTAGCTGCATGTATATAGATTCTTCAAGTTTTCCATATAAGAATGCTGAACCGACATCAAACTGAGAAAGATGCATTTTCTCATTGGCTGCAATGCTCAAAACTGAACGAATATTTCTAACTTTGTTACTGGACTAAACGTTTGATCATAATCAACTCCAAAACGTTGAGTACATCCTTTGGCAACAAGTCTAGCCTTGAATTTATCAATAGATCCATCAGGATTCCTTTTGATCTTATAAACCCACTTGCATGGTATAGCTTTAGCATCTTTTCGTAATTTTTCTAAACTCCATGTTTCATTCTCTATCAATGATTTCATCTCTGAATCCACAGCTTCTTTCCAATTAACACTTTGCTTACAGTTGATCGCTTGTTCATAAGATTCGGGCTCTTCAGAATCAATAATAAAAGCTTCACTTATCATTATATAATCTTCAAAACGCTTTTGGCTTTCTCAAGTCAGCTCTATCTCTTAGGCTCTTGAACTGTGCATTATTTTGCAAATTAATATCTTCACATTCTTCTCTTTCAAAATGTTCTCCTGATATATTTCCAGATATTTCTTTGTTGTATTCTTTTTCTGAATTATCTTCTTCACAAAGAAAACTTTTCTGACTTATCTTTTTCTGAATTTTTTGATGTTCAGAGCCAGAAATTAGGCTATCTTGATCTGAATAGGTAACTGCACCCTTTCTTCACAATTTGTGAGCTTTTCGTTAAATATAATATCACGTGAACAGATCACACTATTGGTTTCTTTGATCCATAGTCGGTATCTTTCGTCTCCATCGTAACCAATTAAATAAGCTTTTGAGCCTTATTATCCATTTTCCTTCTTCTTTGTTTAGGAATATGGGCATAACACACAGATCCTACTATACGAAGATTCTTAATTCGAGGTTTCTTTTTAAACCATAGCCTATAAGGACTCATGCCTTCTACTGATGATTTGCCAGTTCTGTTTAGTACATATATGGCAGTGTTGACTAGTTCAGCTCACATTGCTGCAGGAAAATGAGCTTCAGAATTTGAGTACTTAAATGTTCTTGCCATTTCGATTATTGTACGTATGTCTCTTTCACTAGAGCCATTTTGTCCAGGAGAATAAGGTGCTGTTATTCTTTGAGTTATACCTTCAGAATGCAAAATAGCATGCACTTTGTCATTGTCAAACTTGCCTCCGTTATCGCTCAGAAATTCTTTGACTGAATGTCCTAAAATTTTAGCGTGTGCAAGCATGTGTTGTAACATATTTACAACAGCAGATTTTTCCTTGATAAAATACCCATAACGAAACTTTGTGTAGCTATCTTTAAACACAACTAAGTATCTTTTCTTCTGGAAAGATTCATCAAAAGGTCCACAGACATCAGCTGAAATTAATTCACTATGCTTGCTGGCTGGCTTTCTTTATGCCAAATGGTAAACGGTGTGCTTTGCCAAAAATGCATGGTTCACACAATTTTCTTTCAAATGGGATTTTAATTCCTAATTCTTTCTCAAGCATGTTCTTAATGTGACTTTTATCTTGATGTCCCCATCTCTGATGATATAACTCTAACAAGGAATTGTCTGCTTCAGCAGCATGAACTTCTATAATTTTATCAGGCGTAATAGGTTCGATAGCTGCCTTGTATAAAGTACCATATACTTTGCGAGTTCCAAAAGCACTACTTGACCATTAACCTTTAACCAGCATTCTGTAACTGTTGAAATAAATTTACTATTCGGATTTCTATCTTGAGCAGCAAGTAAGAAAATAAATTTCTGTTTATCTCAGGGACATACCAAACATCTTTAAGGTAAATTCTTTGGATTTTACTACCAATAGTTGTTTTGACACATACTGTACCTTTACCAAGAGCAACTAAAGTTTCTTTTCCAGCAGCCTTGATGCTACAGGGACTATCAAACTGCATAATGTCAAAGTCAATAAAGTATGTGAAACAATTCATGATATGTCTTGTAGCTCCACTATTAATCCAAAAAGATGTTCCATCAGTCTTAGCCTTTTCGTCAATGGACATCAGTATTACACTGCCTGTATTTCCTTCATTGGTTTTCGTTAACCTATTCTTAGGTGGTCTTCCATCAGCAATCCACTGTTTACAATCTTTTACCCAGTGTCCTTTCTTTTTGCAATAATTGCAAATATCTTCTTTTCTTGGTTTTCTTCTGAATTTATCTTTTTTATATTGCTTTTGTTTTTCAGATTTTGACATTACTAATGCCACTTGTTCATTTGTATTGCCTTTATCATGACTTTTGAATTCTCTTTCATGAGAGCAAAGCTGTGCTGTTAACTCATGAACTGTTCTCTTGTCTTCACCCAAGAGTAACCAACTTGACTTAAACAAATGGTATTGCCCTGGTAAGACATCTAAAATCTTGCAATTGAGTAGCATGTCAGGTAACTTATTTCCATTTTTCTTTTCAAGTCCTGAATTCAACTCATTCCATAAGTTTTTTAATTTGGAAAGATGAGCTGCCATATTATCATTTTCATTCCATTTGAATTGAAAAAATTGCATGCATATATTATACAATTGATTTTCTGATGATGCTTCAAATAGCAGTCTGAAATCTCATAACTTTTTGCAGAGTTTCTTCCGTCATGGAATTCGTTAATACCATCATAGCACTAGTGTTTGCATTTTGAAACTTCTTAACAGCTTCATTATATTTCTCTTGTTGAGCAATCGGAACATTTACAGGAAGAATTTCTGGTTTCACTATAGTTCCTTCTACAATTTCTAAAGCACCAGGATGATAATTTAAAATGAATTTTATCCTGTATTTCCATATAAGCCAATCGCTTTCACCAGATAAAGGCTTTACTTGGACCTTAGATAATTCCATACTTTGATTTCTAAACAACTTTCAATTGCTATAATGAAAACAAAACACTTACTTGATTAGGCTTAACGAGTTCCGTTTCTTCGAGAAAACACCAATTCAAAGCATTTGACGCAATATGGGAGCTTGCTTGACCCATAACCTAAAAAAAGTATTTCTTAAAAATACATAACCTAAAAAGGTATTTCTAAAAAATAGAGAGAAAACAAACAGCAGAGCAAAAATACAATGCTTTTTATTGGAATTACAAAGTATAGCTTTTTTTTTGAACGACAGTATCGCGAAGCACGATCTCCTGATGACGACAACACTCACTGTTGCCAGAACTTATCTAAACTATATATTATATTATTATTATTTTTATTAACATACTTTAATAAAAATATCTGTGAAAGGTGTAAGAACAAAAGTGTGAAAATCATGGTATGGATGGCATCATTTTGAATGACCCATACTTACCTATACATTTATACCAGTGAAATGTTGAAATAAATATACAAATATGAGGTTCTTGATTCTTATGGGAAATTTTTTAGAGGTTTAGTTGCTGATAATTTCCTGCTAATGGACATTAATGCTGGTCCCCAGTCACACTGCATTAATAACTGAATGTGTGGAGAGTGACAGTGGAGTACCCCACGTTTTCTCCAGATTTAAATCTGATAAAACCAGTGGAATGCACTAGGTTGCCAACTTGCATCTCTGAAATACTGCTTCACCATTCTTCAGGAGCTTCAAAATATGAAGGCACTTTGTAACCACAGAAGCTCCTGAACAACTGAATAGAGAGCATGGAAAGTTGCTTTAAAGCTTGCATTTCATTCAGGGATAACCAACAACTTATTCACTTTTAGTACATATCTCTAAAAAGTTCAATTTTTTTTAAAATCCACTTTCTAGCACATTTCCTGTGTTCCTATTTAAAGTTATTTTTTACAGAATTAGGCAATTCTGCATTTTATAAATAAGTCATGCATGAGAAAATAAAGATCTTGTGCAGGTTTGATGTTTGTAGCTGGAGAATAATTCAAGTTGCATGAGTTTTTGTAGTTGTTTTAATTTTTTCCACCAATGTAACTACACTTTCATACGTTGGCTAAAAGCTTAAATCAGGATGTATATTTTTCCAGGTTATTCTTTAATTTCATGAGCAATTTTTGTCCTCAATATAAGAATTACAATGCTTAATATACTTGGCACCTGAAAATATTATTTATTAGTGGTCCAGTTTTTTTCTCTTTAAGTTTTTCCAGGCAGCTTGTGGAAATTTTGATGTCTGAGATGCACCATGCAGTCATACTGAAATTTAACCCTCTAAACGATGCAGGTTTTTGGATCTCTCTTGAAGACCTGTATTTATACAGCATTTTTTAGCTAGATTTGTACAATTACTTATTTTAGCCTCTATTTTTATAAACTTACATTCATTAAGATGACATTTATGTTATTAAAGTAAGGAAAGAAAATATTTTAAATTATAAACTAATATGTACCAAGTGGCAAAAAAACCTCATGACTGGATAAAGCTAGTCATGCAGCTCAGTGGGTTGATTCTTTTCAGTTGCACAATTAATTGCTTTTGAGTTAAGTTTCTTGTTACTGCTGCATTGTTATAGATACAGATGATTTAATGGTATCCATTATATTCCTCCCATTTAAGTTATGAGCACTCTTTCTTTATGAATTTCATTTACAATTAGGATTTTTTAAAATTTTTGAGGAGCTTATGTATATCGTGAATTTTAGGGAGCTGAATTTGAATCTCAACGATTGGTTGTATTTGACCATCTTAAAGGCAACGTCATTGCGAATGATAATGGACCTACAGTTGGTGAAATTGTATCCTGGCTTAAATCTCATCCCACTTTCAGGATTGCTTGTGCAAGCCCTGCTTCAAGTATTAAGAAATCTAATTCTCAAAGTAAGTTTAAAAAATTTAACTTTAAATTAATAAAATTTTAATGAATAATTATAAATGACCTAGTTATGACAGTCTTGCTGTTTATTTTAAAAGCTCTTTATGCCCATTTCATTTATACAGGGTGTCTCATCAAGATGCTATCTATAAATTAAATGTTGGTTTAAGTTGTGCATGGCAAATTTCTTTGCTTGGATTATGTGAAAGATCTCTCTGTATAAGAACTATAACTCTATGACTCATAGCTTTAAAAAAGGAATTTTAAACAAAAAGAATTTCACTTCTGATAATCAGAAAATTTGCTATATTGGCAACATGAATATTGATACTTATATACAGACTTATATACAGTTTCACATTTACATGAAAAGATGCTAAAAATGACCACTGTGCATATCAAGGTATGCTTTGCTTGCACATGCTATAGAATGTCTGATGTAACATGTCCAGTACTACGGTAAACAGTAAAGTGAATGCAATATGAAGATTAGGAACTTAACCACTTAACAGTTATGCCTGGGTACGGTTCAAGTTCTGTGAGAGGGGACTTCCTTGAGTAGCCCATGCACAGCTTCAGTGTATTTTTCTACATTAGTCCGCTGATTCGCCCTGCTTTTTTCACTTTTTTTTTTTTTTTACTTTGCAGTATTTCTAGTAAATACTCTAGTAGTCCAGGAGAGGCTGAATTGTAAACCTAGTTCAGGGACAGGTTTTACCGCTTTGTGTGTTGCACAAAAATGAATGATAGTGGTAAAAACGTCAGAAAGGAAATCAGGTATTTTTATGCCGATTGAGATAGTGTACCCGGCTTATGTCCATGTTTTAAAATATATCATTCTATAGCTCAATTTTGAAAAGAAATAAAATTTTAAGTATTTAAAAAATACCTGTTTTTTTCCTATCATTTTATCTCCTGTAAAGTGTTCTTTTCAGTACTGCACCTTCATCAGAAAAAAGCCAATTTAAGTAAACATGCTCTATTTTTGCTGTATTTAAAAATTACCTTAAATTAATAAATGCAGTACTTGAAACAATTTTCACTGGTTATTTGAATTCATGTAATCAATTTGAATACAATTTTTTAATAAAAATATGATAATTTTTTCATATGGCAGAAAAATGAAACTGGTAAATGGTTAAAAAAATTAACTCGCACATAGAAAACAAGTATGAACTCCTGACGGACTGGGAGTGAATTATCACTGAAGTTAATGACAAACTTGAGGCTTAAACAAATTCTTTTATTAAATCAGAACTTTGAATATAATCAGCTAATCACTTATGGCAGTGTAACTTGAAATAGTAAATTCAAATTAAAACTAAACCTAGTATCCAAGGGCTACACATAGGATTCAAGGTAAAGTTGGCTCAGAACTTCATACCAGCATAGCAATTTGAATATTGGCGTCTATTAATGCAAAGCTGAATAATACAATTTTTCTAAGCTAGCTGACCTAGCAACATGACCTTCCTTTAAATACTATCTCATCTTTTTCTACCTCATTTACATTCTGGTAGTGGAACGGAAACAAGAAATAGCAGTAAAGATGCAAAATGTAAAATAACCGGTTAGTGAAAAATAACACTAATAACCTTACAAGCTAATTATCTTTCTGAAGTAAGTGGCACATGTAAATCATACCTGCCAACTTTTACGAATTTTTCGTAATTTTTACGAAAATGCGTTTGTCTTTACGATTTTATGATCATAATCCATTTTTTACGATTTTTTTCCTTTTTCAAGTGTTTTTAGTGATTTTTGTCGAAATTTTAGAATTTTTCGCCAATTCAGCGATTTTCGCCAATTGCACTGTGTTTTACCGCCAACTACCGACTACTTCGAATCCAGTAACCTGCGTTTCTGCAGCGCCACTTAACCAGCCAATCCAATGCGCTGAACTTGTTCTCCCACTCTTTTCTTTGTGGGCGCCAGATTATTTTTTTCGCGTTCGCTTCAGCAGCAAGGGAATTACTCAGTCATGCTTAGAAGACTCCTCAAAGGTCAACTTTGTTAAAGAAGTTGAAGGGAAGAAGAAACAGTCTTCTATTAGCCGGGAGGAACGGATTTTCTATCTTCTTTCTTCGGATTTGAACAAAGCATATTGTAGTTTTGTGTTAAGTACCATTAAGATTTTTGAAAGTGTAAATACCCTTCTACAATCAGCTTCGCCAAAATCTCCCCTGCTATCCAAATTCTTAATGATCTTTTGAAAAGAACTTTATACTAAGTTGTAAAACCATCCATTGTGAAAAACAGTGTGTTGATTCGTGTTGCCTATGATAGTTTGGCAAATCAAAAGGATAACAATGATCTTATAATTGAAATCAAACCAGGGAACTTGTAAATTCTTTGAAAGATCATGAGAAAAAAGAATTTTTTCAATGTGTTAGAAAGTACTTTTCCTCAGCCTGTGATTACATTGTAAGGAAGTTTCCTTTGCAAAATGAAGTTCTTTTAAATGCTGAAGTGGCAAATTTGAAATTTTGTTTCATAATGCTAGTAAGGATGTCAATGAGGAAGTCAGTCAGTGTTTTATATAATTTATAGTACATCTATAAGCTTATTTCTGTATTCTGAATACGTCATATTTTTCTTTCAAATTTTCCTTGAAATCTATAGGTAATCAAAGTATAATTCATGGTCATTTTTTATACACTGTGAGGAATCTCATATTACAGTATTTATAATGCCTTGGTGTTACACCTTGTATGTAATTTGATGTAGTTTACAGTTTTCTTACACTGACTATATGGAACTTGTTTTTAAACATTCTAAGGAAACATTTCTTAACTTGGACTTTTAAAGTGGTTTAAAGATACAACCCTATTTATAAAGTTGGAAGACCAGATGTTTCTTTGCTGCATAATTTAACAAAATTGATGCAAAGTAAGCAAAATAATTTATTTCAAGAAAGCTAATTGTAATTATATCTTCTCTCCAAGCTGATATTTGGTAAGGAAGTCAAGTTTAATTGGCAAAAATATTCTTTTTCTAAAACTTCGTTAGTATTTAGACTTCTATGTCTAGTTGCATTAAAAAAAGTAGAAATTGGATAAAACAAATTGAAACTCCCCCCCCCCATTTGTAAATTGCTGTTAGGCATCATATTTATCCAATGCTTATGGAAGAGCCTCATTCTTGTGTGTATAGATAAATTTACTCATGAATTCCTCCCTAAAAGAAGAAAAGGAGGCAGACTACTTTATAATTCAATAACATCCAACAGGATGCTAGCCAATAATCTGTTAGAAGTAACTATCAAAACAACAGTAGTAACAAAAAAGGGGGAATTAGACATAAGACATAGCCCAAAGTGTATGGTGGATGAGAAGTGCTTGCCAGTGCCCAGGCAATTTGACTTCTGAGTAAGCAACATGTCTACAGCCAGATGACACAGTGTTTATATCCAGCCTACTGCAGCACACAAAACAGCACATTTAGCATAACACACACAACATGCACCTTTGATCAGACTTCAGCAACGTGTCTACAGCCATATGCCAGAAGACACAATGTTTGTATTCAGCTCCAGCACACAAGAGAGCACATTTACACAGATAACATGCACCTTTGACCAGACTTCACTAGAATACTGTGCTTTTTACAGATAAGTTGAGATTAAGCCTGGACTTTGATTCTCAGTGTACCTGTATCTGGAGAGAGGCTGAACACAATACCATCCCTTCCTCATCAAGAAAATTTATCATTATGGTGGTAGAGTTGTAGTGGTTTGGGCAGACATTATATTTAATGGCTGTATACCCCTTGCATGTGTTAAATCAGGCTTCTGGACTGCTATGAGGTATACAGAGGAGATCTTAGAGGCATAAGTTTGACTTTTCAGGGGTGCAGTTGGTCTTATGTTCTTGTTTTAATGGATGACAAAACTCATCCACATAGGGCTCAGTTGTTCAACGTTTACTAGAATAGTGAAAGTATTTACTGTATGGATTAGCAAGCCAGATCGCCTGCCTGATCTTAATCATATATGCATGTCTGAGACACATTTGGGAGAGGAATTTCATCTCACTATCCCTCTCCAAGAAATGTCCCGGAGTTGAAAACTGCGTTGCTGTAGGAGTGAGGTCAACTGCCACAGGAACTCTTGAGCTGCCTCCTGTCCATTATGCCATTACACTGCATAACCTGTCTGGCTGTTAGAAGGGACATTAAACTAGTTTTAAGTTCACTATCACAAGGTGGATTTTGGATGTCCCTGCACCATATTTCATTAAAATCTGCCCATTAATTCAGAAATTTTATATAATATGCAAATTCTCGTAATTTTGCACGAGTATGTATACCAAAATTATTATTTTTTTATTTATATTGTATGTATACCAAAATTAAATATTTTTTAGCATTAATGTTATTTAAATGATGTTTCTTCATTAAGGTTTAAAGCAGAAGTTTTGGGATAATTATGATAAATTTAAAATATGTCAAATTGATTATTGAATTAATAACAAAATAAATTTTGTTTTCTTTTTTTGATGGAAAATGTGTAATTTTTTATGGCCTAATTGTGTTGTTTCTGTAGAACAAAGTTCAGACTCCAGTATAGCAGCTGCAGAAAAAAAAGACTCAAACGATGAATCATCAAAAGCTACTGTGCGATTTAATGTTAGGAAAACACTAAAGAATATATTAATGGATCGGTATGCAGTACTAATTCTTTATTTCATATGCCATATTTGTATTGCTTCTTTTTAAATATGGGCCATAACCTCATGGTTTTGCATATTTATTAAATATTGAAAGTCAGATATTTAAATATTTAGTTATGAACCTTGTTGTTGTAAACATATAAAATAAGGATTTAGTTCATTGTATCGAATATGGATAATTTTAATTTAAATGAAATGTAACATCTACTCTAAAAAAACTGTAACCTGGAATTCAAGAATATGATACTTGATTATCATCCTATTTTTATTTAAATAAAAAATATATGAGTTTATGTAATAAATACTAAAATTTAAAACTTGGATTTCACTGTCTTCTCTTTTCTTTTAAGTTTTAAAGAAATATTTATTGGATAAACTGCCATGTTAAGTTCCCCAAAACGTTGAGTTTATTAACAGTTTAGCAGTAAAGAGGAGGTGAATGGGAGTTTTCATTTTATTCTCTTGGGTATATTATGGAAAGCTAAAAGTTTCTATTCCTGCTATCCAATATAGGGCTGTTCTTATACTAAAGCGAATTATCTTCAATTAATACTTTAAAAAAAGAATGAATGAATTGTAAATGCATTCTATTTGAATACTGTACAGAAATACAAGAATTCCACCCCTAACACAGTTTCATTTAGCATCAAATGGAAGAGAAACATGGCAGTGTAAAATTTAAGAGGCAAAAAGGCTAGATTTGCATAGGTTCTGAGTAAAACTCTATTTTCTGTGTGTATGTGAGACAGAGACAATCAGACTTAGGTTGCTTTTCTTGAACAGAAATTATGCTAATTTTTGAAGCAATTGTGAAGCACCTGACTTACTCAGAAAAAATGTATTCTTTTCCTGAAAATTTGAAACATAAGGGATTTCTCTCGTCTTCTTAGCATGCCTTTGTGGCATGCTGGTCTGCATGCTTGGAGTGTATTCCAGAGGTCCGTGGTTCGATTCCCAGTGAGGGCATTGCTCATTTTTCATCTGTCTTGCTTAAAAATACCTGAATGTCTCTACAATGATGCCCCAACGAAAAGGGTGGTAGATGATGATTCTCCACACCCAGGATTTGATGATTGGGTCCCCTGAAAACCCCATTTGCCTTTTAAAATGGGGAGTATATAAGGTATTTCTCCTGCCTTCTTAGTGTGCCTTGGTGGGTGTGGTTGTCTGCACGCTGGGCACGTATTCCAGAGGTCCATGGTTCAATTCCTGGCGAGGGCATTGCTCATTTTTCATCTGTCTTGCCTAAAAATACCTAATGTCTCTACAACATAAATTATAGCTTGGAATCCAAATTTGTGAAAAATACTTCAAATGTACTATATTTTTAATGCTGCACTTTAAGTGCTGTAAAGAAAAGTTGCACTTCATAACGTCATAAAACTTCATAACTTTAGGTACTGACATAGATTATACGGGGACCCTGACATTTATCAGCGAATCTTATGAAAGCCTACAATTCTTCATCAGCTTCCTTCCTTTCTCACTCTGAAATTCGCCTTCATATTCATATTCCCTCTCCTTTTCATGATTTTTCTTCTTTCCCAGTATATGTGTGATTAGTCGTGAACTTCAGACAGTGTGTGGGGAAAAGATTTGTTTGTATTCACCTTAACTTGCACCTGCTCTTCATTAGTACTAACCTTCTCCAGACATTCAGGTAAATCCAAGATGTTCGCCACAGGTGCGAATCTGCTTTAAAACCTTGAGAATCTTCATCATTAATCTCATCATTTGTGAGCATGATCATAGACTGCAATTTATGTAACCACTGACATAAAGTAATGTTCTTTACATCATTTCAACAATACTCAAAGTATATCTGCTGTCTTTCAATGTGACTTCTGAAAATCATGGATGCTATCTCCAAAGTTCATATATCAACATGAAAAAGGGATCAGTAATTTATCTTTATATTCTAAATAAACCCTTAGTTAACTCGTTTGATAACGTTGTTATGTTGGGCAGCAGAAGCATAACATTAATGCTTTCCACATTTAAATCTTCTCATCAGATTGTTATCTAATAGATTTAAATTTAAAGCTTCAAAAGTGCCATTATTTTGATATAACCAGGTAACTGGGCACTTATTATGAAAGATTTTTATTCTATGTTTTCATGCATATGTTTTTTGCCCTGCATTTGTGTTTTTATCATTTTACTTGAAGTCAGATAGTGTCAAGAATTTTCTTTCATGTATTTGAAAGTATATTGATTTAATATCAGATTGAAATATTTCTTAAAAATTTTTGAATTGAATTTTAGTTAAATAGATGAAAGAGATGAAACGTAATCAGGTATCATAATTATTGTTTTTATTGAGAAGAACTAATTCCTCTTGAGAAGTCAGCCTTTTTACACGTATTTAAGAGTAATTAACTTTGTGTTATATTTTTGTGTAATTATATTTTTTTAAATTTAAATACCTTGATTACTAAGTTTTATAATTTTCATAGTTTAGACCATATTTTCTTAGAAGATTCAATTTTAATAACTTTTATATTACAATAATTTTTCATTTCCAAGGGGATAATTGATATTAAAAACCAAATTTAAATTGATTATCTTAGTGCATTGATTCTGGATTTTAGCTTTGAAGATTCATTTTATACCATTTTTTACTTTGTGTTTTATACATATGTCATGATATGAATGATTTGGAACTTCTTGGTGATGTAATAGATGCCTAGCAAAGAAACTTGGCAAGACAGACATGGCCGCATTCAAGATAATTTTGTCATTGAGTAAAGCAATTCTGGATTCACAATATTTGGTTCACATACAGACGAGCATCTTATGTGCCTTTCATTTTTGTTGGCTCAGCACATATTCAGTGAACAAAGAAGGTAACTGCAAACAAAGCATCTTGCCAGGAGGAAAGTTCAAGCGAAAGTGTTGCAGCAATTCAAAGGAAGAAGGAAGGGAGTCAAACAGTTTCAGTTTGAGATAAAACGTTTCGGTTTACAGTTATTTAGTGATTGAGCAAGAGGTATCTGCATTAAGCATTGCGTAGGATCACATGAATTATTTGAATGATGCAGTTTAGACTTATAGGTATTATTTTTAAGCTGGAGAGAGGAAGACCCCCAAATTAAATAAAAAATAAAAGAGGTTATAGCCAATTAAAATTAGAAGTTTGCTTTCATATTTTTCATTCTTCTTATAAATTGAACTAAGACTACATTGTAATCTCTCTCTCTATATATATATGTATATAGCATTGCCTTGAATTAGGTAAAACAATGTATTTGATGCTCCATTTTTCATCTGATGAGTTACGCTACTTGGCAGTTTTTCTAGAAGCAACTGTCTTTCATTTGCAAATGCTTCTTGAACCCACTTGTCTGTTTGAACTTACATCCATCCACTGATTCATATCATTGTCTCATCATTAAAAGAAATCTCAGATTTGCTGAAGATTAAGAATGGCCAATAGTGATGTTCTCGACTGCATTCTGTTTCATGATTAAAAGCAATTGTGAATATTGTTAAAAATTTTGTATTTAGATAGTTAATTTTAGTAGAATTATAATTAAAATTGTTGTATTTCCCCGTGCAGTGCAGCACGAGACAAATTTTTAAAGAAAGATATGCTGGGAAAGCAAAAATACACTGGCATGTATATTTAACATTGAGTAAATGGATATCTGGGTAATTTGTAGTTAAATTGAATAAATGTAATTGACCACGTGTTAGCTGTAACCTTAATTCCATAATTTGTTTCCTTTCCAGAAATCTCGAGGAGCAGAAAGTACTAGGAAAATCTCGCGCAGCCAGTTGAAAACTACTTAAGGCCAAAGAGAGCATCTGGTCTCAGTTTCTTAGTTACTGTTATTGCAAGTTGTGCAATTTGAGATATCAGAGTTAGCTTTCGCTTTAGATGCTCTTTGCTGTGTTTTATTTAACATTTTTAGTAGTTTGAAGCATAACTACAGGTTATATGTCATGATATTGTGAACACTTGTACGGATATCTCTGAGGATATTCCAGAGTTCTGATATATTTCTTTTCATAAGAATAAACTTCATTAACCTATTATTGGACTTCTGCCTTCAATCTGTTATGAACCCATATGCATGCAAATTTTTTTGGGCTCAGAAGTATAATTGATTGTCAGTAACAAGAGTGATGGAGGAGCAGTTAAGACAGCTAGTGGCAACTTTTGCTGCATTTAAAGAAGAGATGAAAACTTGTCAAGAATCCAAATTGAAGAAGAGATGGAAGATTTGTTCAATAAAAGATAAAAGCTGGTGAAGAAGCAGGTAGCTGCGAAGCTGGTCAAGAATCCGTTAAAAAGGAAATGAAAGCAATTCAGGAAGAGGTTGGTCAAGAATACATTAAAAAGGAGATGAAAGCTGTTCAAGAACATGGAAGTTGGCCCAGTATCTGTTAAAGTAGAAATGAAAGTTGTTAATAAAAGAGATGAAAGCAGGTCAAGAGGAAGTGAAAAGAGAGATTACCTGTATAATAGAAAGCCAATTTGAGGTCGTGGAAGGCATAATTTACACTGTTGAAAATAAAGTTGGACACATTGAAGAATGAATTTCTTCTGCAAAAGAAAAAATAGAAGAAAGATTTTCTGCTGTGGAGCAACAAATCGAATTAAGAGTTTCTGTCGTTCAACAACAAATTGACGACAGGGTTTCTGTTCCTGTCACCAAAGAAGTTCACACCTTAAAGAAGTGCATAGTGACAGCAGGAAGCAATTCTGAGGGTTTTAAGTTTTTCCCATGCCTGCTCATCTGTCTCTGATGTTGTCTACATATGATGGGAAGCCCTCCTGGCAAGTGTATAAGGAAGAATTTTTTATAGTTGCAGAAACGAATAGTTGGGATTCTCAGGCTAAGGCCTGTCGTCTCCTGGCTTCTCTGAGTGCAGACACAGCACAAATATCATTCAGACTCTTCCCAAAAACCAGAGACTAGATTTTGAAGCTCTATTTGGTGCATTGGAGTTGCGCTTTGGGGAGAAATGCTTAAAAGACTACAGCA